CATTTGTGAGGACTTTTGTTTTCTTTACATCAAGGTACAAATAATATATTTGTAAATATTTTGAATTTTCTTGCTTCTAACAAGAAGGGTTGTATTCTTTCACCATGCTTACTCAATCTTTACACAGAGAAAATAATCTGAGAAGATGGACTAGATGAAGAAAAATATATTGGAATTCTGTATTTTTTTAGATTTTTGCTCCTATTTTTCACTTCTTCAGTTCTATTTTATTGCTTCTCTTTTCTTTTCTTAGATATTATTTTCTTTCTTGTTGTTGCCTCTTTTTTTATTTTATTTTTATCATTTATTATTTTTTTCACTACTGTTTGCTTGTTTATTTTGTTTTATTTAATTCTGTGTGTGTATGTTTTCTCTTCTTGGTCCACTCAAAAGGAGGCAGAATCCATGCCCAAACAACCCAGACACAACTGATTTCTCAGCAGAAACAATTCAGGAAAGAAGACAATGGAACATCATATCAAACCTCAGAATGAAAAAAAAAAAAAAAAATGTCAACCAAGAATCACTTACACAAAGAAGCAGTCTCTCAAATACAACAATAAAAAAAATGAAAATTTTTGATAAACAGAAATTAAAGGAATTTGTAATAATTAGATCAACTTTACAAAAAATATTAAAGGGTGTTCTTTGGATTGAAAACCAACAACAGCAGACAATAACCTGATTTTGACAAACATGAAAATACCACCTCAAATTCATTTTGGATATAGAATTATTTAAAGTGTAACAAATCCACAAGACTGAAAATAAGTAGTCATAGTTATCAATTTACAATGAAGACCAGTAAGAAATAAATAGAGGGAATAGTGCAGATACAAAATTTCCAAAAGACAAGGAAGTCCAGGAAATTTCAAGATAAAACAGAGTGTTTTAAACTTGGGAAAAAAGTAATAAATTACAGTATAACCTCAGAGAGAACTAATACACCTCCACATCAAAATACAAAACGATAAAAATCAGAAAGATTTAATAAAACATTAAAGCAATGCAATGAAGACAATGAAACAGAAACCCACAGAAAAAATTACCTCAG